TGTTATATAGCACTAGTGCCACAATGCATGGTATATATATATATATACACTATCCTCGTCCAACTCCTTCAGATCTTTTGTTCGAAGAAAATATCAAATATACATACGTGATTCACAATTTTTATTAACTTTTTATTCACAAATTTAATAATCTTTTATTAATATTTATGAAAAATATAATTTGTAGCCAAATCAATCAGGGACTTAATTGGACTCGTCACGTGCTATCGCATAGGATATTGTTTTAGCATCAATGTTGATATATAGTATTACTGGACATTTTTTAGCGTTATGTGAATCCACTAACTGTCACATCAGTTATATGGATCCATTAACTCCACACCAATTCTCTTACGGACGATCAAATTCAACCGGACATAGCATGATCAATTAAAGAGGAGAGTTTGTTCGTTTTGATTTTTGTTAAAGCTTGTTTGGGAGGAATTTTAATCCAATTAAAATTGAAATATAGCCGTTATTGTATCCTACTCGTCTATTAAAAGTCAACAAAACGGTTAGTTTTTCAATTTTAATTCGATTTTAATCTCTACCAAACAAGCCCTTAATACCTACTTATCAAAGACAATATTAAAACTGTTGAATATTGGCTTGAATTTCATGAGTCGAAGATTTAACACCCGTTTGATTNTTTGGGAGGAATTTTAATCCAATTAAAATTGAAATATAGCCGTTATTGTATCCTACTCGTCTATTAAAAGTCAACAAAACGGTTAGTTTTTCAATTTTAATTCGATTTTAATCTCTACCAAACAAGCCCTTAATACCTACTTATCAAAGACAATATTAAAACTGTTGAATATTGGCTTGAATTTCATGAGTCGAAGATTTAACACCCGTTTGATTGCAAAGTTGGAAAATGGGTGGAAAGAAAATGAATTACAAGAAATTGAATTACCTAGAATTGTGTTTGATTGATATAATTTTCCACCTGAAAAATGTTGAAAGTTTGGTGTCCGTTTGACTTTATTTTTCATGAAAATTGTCCATTAAAATGATAATTTATTCTACCATTGGATCTAGAATTTGTTCCAATTGTCAAAAAATTAAATTTTTTTTACTATACTGAATATCATTTGTTTAGCTTTGTTTTGCATGGAAATTGTCAATAAAAGTGATAATTTTTTTTATCATTGTATCTAGAATTT